TGAGATTATTTTAGAAGTTGTTTTCTTCTGCGGCCGTTCTCTGACATAGGGTGATGCATGTCGAGCTGTAGAGCTCCGGACATTTATTTATTATTCTCGGATATAATGCAAATTGCATGAGTGGTAAAGTTACAGGTTCTGCAATTTTCTTCCCCATGTCAATGCTGACAGAAGGGTCTCCACTAAAATGGAGCTTCAGAGGGTATTTGGCCTACTCTTACATCCTGACCAGAAGTCTTTGGAAAAGGTGGGAACTTTCCTGCCCCACACGATACCTGCCCGTTGACTCGATGTGTACCGAGGAGGGGTTGTGGAAGAACTTGCCCCACTGATTCAAACGGTCGCATCAGGCGATTGTAAATCATATGGGTGTGTGTCAACCATTGCACCGTGGGAGCCACCTAACATTATTGGAATATACAATAATTATGGGGGGGGGGGGCGGGGGAAATTAAAGATACCATTGCAAATGTCAAGGTCACAAGGTGCCTGTAAACAAAACCCATAATTTAAAATGTTTGTTTTCATAAAATGTTAACAAGCGACCGAGTATGTGCGTGGGTTATGCTGTTTGCTCTGAAGTTGAAATGGGAAAGATAATGTTCAAAAACAACTGTTTGAATGTATGCCCTTTTAATGTGGCTAATCGCGATAAATGCGCTGTTTATGTTTTGCAACGGGCTTCATTTCCGCGCAACGCAGGAGAGAAATTGTATGAAATGACATGCACTGTATGAAATGCCTGACTAAAGTAAACACTGGGAAATGGTTCGCTTCAAAGCCGCGAGTGTTTGCCGAGCACGTCACGGCCGCTACCTTGCCATCGCTTTGACCTTCGCGTGACCTTTCTTGACTGTCGAAGATGAAATTTCATCTTGTCCGTGTCTTCTGTACGTCGCCCGTTTGTGGGCTGTCTCCGTCGGTCTCTCCTCTGGCGAGCCGCAGGAATTAGCGCACAGAAAAAAAAACACTTGGCATTGGCAAAGATTGTATTTCGTCTAGACAGGTTATTAGCAGAGCCTGGAAGGCCGAGCTGTTCCGGTTTTGGCAGAGAGACGGATTATCGCCCAGTGCATAGGAAATCGTGCAATTTTATATATATAAAAAAGACAAACCCCATATATAAATGCAGCACCACGTAAATTACTCGTTGATGTTTGATAAGGTGAAAGATTAATATAAAACTTACCTATATCTCAGAGGCGACTTAGCATTAAAAAAAATGCAACCATAGTGAAATTAGTTTCACTTTTCCGGTCAAAGGTAGTTTTATATGTTGCATGCGTGCTCATCTCCTATGTACAGCCGTGAACCAGCATGGCATTTCCACATGCCTATGGCGGGGGACAGATCAATCCACGAGATTACCTCGACAAGTTTTCAAGAACGCCGGTACTCATTTCATAAACTGTGCAGCTGGGCTTGACTCTTGACCTGGATTTTAATTGGCCTGGATTTTAATTGACCTGGATTTTAATTGACCTGGATTTTAATTGACCTGGATTTTAATGAGCTATTTTAATTTTTTGATATACAAAAGTCGCCGGTTTGATTTCCTGGCGGGACAGTTGAAGCAATGGGGGGAAATATCTTCAATCCCCACCCCCCCCCCTCTGAGTGTCCACGCAGCAGTGTCAACGCGTACACCATCGTTAGCTGGTCGACAAGTGACGTGTGGTGTGGTGGGATAAAATATGGGTACGCTGACCTCTTCCAAGATATCCGACTGGCGTGGAAGAGTAGGCCAAAATACACTTTTAGAGGCGCTCGTTAGACCGTCCATCACTCCCAGCAGTGACAGAAGAATGAAATTGCAGGGCGGCACTTTAGAATGAGCCACTTTTAAATTATCAGGAGCACTCGTGACCCAGGCACAGCCAGTATGAGCTACGTATGTGAACATTCGGAAAATGTTTACACGGTTATAAAAAAATTGTGCTGTGCGGGGAGGTTTGCCAACTGTCTGAGTTTGACCTTGGACAGTAAGGAAATGTGCCATCTGTGTTGGGAGTGGGGAGGGGGGTGCAGGATTTGATTTGTCCCGATTATCTCTCAGTGGTATTGTGTTGAACTTCATCGCGGTGTGCTGCGCAGTTTTGACAATCGACCTCGCGCGTGGCTGATAATAACAATAAGCCCGGGGTTTGTCCCGCAGGCAAGGTGATGGGGCCTCGTTTTGTGGGCGAGCTCGCGGAACGCGCAGTGGAGCAGCGCCCTGCAGCACTCACTTCGCTTGGCGAATGCTGAGGCAGCGGGGGGTCTCAAGAGGGAATGCTCGGCGCAGGCCCCCCCCCCCCCCCTGTGTAGACCTTCGCTTGCCCCGCACCCGACTCGGCCCAATCTTTCTTCGCCCATTTTTTGGGGAGAGCAGCAGGGGACGTTAAAAAAAAAAAACACGCGAACAAGGTGGGAGCCAAAAGGGCCTCCCGTGGCCAAGGGATATATTTCATAACTGCAGCATTTTAATCCACTTAGCTCCGTGTTCGCGTGGAGGGTTTAAGGCGCGAGGGTTTGAGCCGACAATGGTTTGTACTTTATGGAGCACGGTGCACAAATTGTGCCACCCCGCGTGCGCACTGTGGCTCAGTGTTTGTTCACTGATTGAAGATCGAAACTAATCGCTCAAGAGTACAAAAGTACTAATCGGGGGTTTAGCTTTGGCCGATTTTAAATGAGTGGAGAGATACACGCACCGAATGGCACGTACAACAAAATATATCGTTTCATGCAAGTTACTGAGTACGCAAATTATCCGCTTAATGTTATATTTGGGACAATGAAAAATGTATAAGCTAGACAGAAAAATGCGAGAATCAATCCAAAAAGAGATTGGAAAAAAAACCAAGACGAGTATTCATTTACTCTTGAGTCAAATCTCCGGGGGAGGTGGAAAATAATTTGCACTCCTCGTGGCCAACATATTTATATTTCCACAATAAAGTCCATGCTTTAATTCTATTATGTAACAAAACAAATAAGCAGACAACATGTCTCCTTGATGAAAAAAAACATATATATTTAGTTTGCGCGCGGCTGCAATTGACTTTGCTCAGTGGGAGTTAGCCACTGAGGGCGTGATAGATTTCCCTTTTCTCATTCCTGTTGCTCATGTGTTCCCCGGCACCGTTCCGTCGTAACATGCACTGGTGCCTACTTTGTTGAGGCCGACATTGCCACAGAAAATTAAGATTGAGTGAATGATATCTGTCTCTCGACCTAAAAAAAAAAAAAAAAATTAACAGCCCATCAGCTCCAAGGCCTTCTGGGAGTGAATAATGCCAGCAGCATTGCATCAGCATTCTATCTATCTATTTCATTATTTATATTCGTTGCGTCGTAAGATACATTGTTGCGAAGGATCTATTGCTGCGTATGATCTAATCGTTGTCTACACGAATTACGAGCACAATGAACAAAACAAATGTGTCAATAACATTGCCTTAAATATATATTAAAAACGGTGACTTTGCGGGCAACATTGTTTGAGATCTTTTGTGAAAGATCATCTTAATAGCTAAGGGTAAAGTTTTTGTTCAAGTTTTCTCTGTACAATTAAAATTCACACGGCGTGGTGTTTTTTTTGTTGTCGTCGTAAAATGTGCCTCAGAGTTGAAGAGGTTATGAGAAATAACGAGAAGTAATTTTGTGACAAAGCCTGAGCGTTTATGCGACCGTTGTTTTGGCAACTCAGCCGGGATGGAATTCAGACTTCAAAGTCCTGGGCCCTGTGTAATGTGGTCGGGGTAGTCTCTTGTTTTGGCCATCAAGCCATGCATGTGGCCCACGCCACTCGTTTACTTGCAGTGAATTGTACTTGGCAGCGTTTAAAAAAAAAGGAGCAGGGGTCTGTTATGAATCGCATTTCTGAACTGTTAGAGTCGAACGCGGGGAAGAAATTTGAATAAGGCAGCAGTAGTTTAAGTTAACAGCTGTTTTTATTAAACAGGCTCTCGCTCAGAAGACAAGGGCAGGCAGCTTGGACCATATTCAAGAATGGGGTGGAAAGAAAATCACATGCACACGCGTAGACTAAGGTCCCCCGTACAGACTTAACAGACTGTAGGGGCAAGTGCTGTTAGTGAGCACCTATGAAGGCCGGCACGGCACTCGAGGGGGTTGGTGGCCGGGACCACGCCCGGCCGCCTTTGTCCCCACAGCGGTGATGTTTACACACCGCATCAGGGACTCATTTGAGGCCGAGTCGACCTAGGGGAGGCCCGGGACCGGTTCAGATAATCGTCACCGGTGTTGGCCGTGAGCGGGAATTGAACTTGGGTGGCCGGGTTCGTGGGGCGGCACGCCACCGCTACCCAACCATGCACACACACACACGCACGCGCGCACCCGAACATACGCGCACCCACAATGAAAACTTTTTTTAAAAGGAAGCATTGGCGAGCGGCGCGCAAAAAAAACGTACAAAAGCATACACAGAGACCCTCGAGACAAACACAGGCCGATTCAGGAGCTCACAAAGTACACACGGAAAGAGCGATAGGTGATTTTGAGCGGGACAAAAACTAAATACTGTACAAGGATTTCGTGTTGCTTTAGAGAACCATACCGTACAAAATCTCTACAAAAACACGTGTTTTTAAAAAAAAAAACCTCTCGGAATATTTTACAGAAAAATTATTAGAATATATGCAACAAAACAAAAACGTGCTTGCTTTTTTTTGGCCTTCAAAAATCCACAACGGATCGTCGTCTTGTTAAAAGAACACCCTCAGTTGGGCCATGATTTATAAATAACACACCGTCCTTTAAAAAAAAAAAACATTTAGACAAGGAGTTGCAGAAAAGCACACACAATGCACAGAAACTTCCTTCAAGCATCCGTACCTCACAAAAGTGCAATGTGTATAGTTTATATTCAATAAAAAAAAACATTTTATTGGGTGTACACAACCAACCAATTATTTCTCAATTTTCCGTCTCCCAACCCCCCCCCCCCCCCATATTAAAATGGCCAAATTCAACTCCCCCCCCCCACCCCCCCCCACAGCCTCACAGGCATTTTAGATGACCTGCGGCAAGTCTGCTATACATATGCCAGATTTCTTGACGTTTGCATGATCGTTATGGCAACCTTACCAGCTTACCAATACAAACTTGCTTGTGCTCGTGAAATAGAAACTGCACACACAAGATGGGCAACACCGAGTCAATATCAGACTCCACGCATTTGGTGCGAGGGCTCTACTTTTACTTCATTCACCTCCCTAAAAAGGCCCCGGGGTTTTGTACCAATATTGCATAAGCTCATGCTATAGCGCGCGGCTCTCCATAAAAGGGAGCAAGAAAGTCCGATTATTGTTTAGAACATGTGCTTGCACTTACTGCTCGACGCTGTATGTAAACTAACCAAAAATAGCACGTGCTTGAAACGTAACACTGCACGACAAAATGTTTCCGAAACGAAATCAGGTCGTCCGTGCGTCAATATTTTGTATCCATGAAAAGTTCACTATTTTGTCACTATTTCATTATATTAAGTTACACGCACGCATTGCAATGACGTAGGATCATATCCGTACATAATTTCTCAAAATCTGGACACTGTTTTGCCACCCACAATTAACTTTGCCAATAACCGAGAGATACTCGCAAAGGGAGTGAAATCTTAGAATGTTTGGCTAATGATCTTCAGATGGCCATGGGTTCTTTCTCTGATGCTGTAAACTCCCTCTGCACTTGTGTGCACGCACTCACCTTTTAAACTCTAAACACCAGTGTGTCGATGCTTCAGGTAAACCTACTAAAGAATGCCCCATAAGCTTTCCCTAACATTGGCCTGTGCAACATTTAAACTGTCACGGTTTCCTCAATCGAGTGATTGCGTCTGATTTAAATCGCACGAGGAGACAGCCAATGTAAGCATCGTAAAGGTCAGAGATGGAGTCATGGAAAGTATATTTTTTCGGGTTTTCATCAAAACTATATACACAAGTCCTATGTTTAACATCGGAACATACTTTTCAACAAATCCAACCCAAAGGTTTGAACACCATAATGCCAAAAACTTCCTTATATGACAAGAAGTACAACGACGACGTCCTCTCTTCCTGCTCTCAGCACAAAGCGACGAACGTGACCTCTTCAGCGTAGCCGACGAGCAATCGTCCCAGCTTCGGAAATTCCATTGTACAAAAAAGTGGCATCGGGCCGAGTCTCATCGCGTGCAGTCTCTCCTCGCACGGCCAACCTCAGAACGACGATCCCATCTTGCCTTTGGAGGTGAGCGCCTGCTTGAAGCGCCTTTTGAGGTCCTGCATGTTTGGCGACTTTGGCCGCGGGATGACGAGGCTGGCTTTCCTCTTCTCGCCGCCGGTGCCGCCGCCGGCGCCATTGCGGGCACCGTTCCCGGCCGCCTGCGCCTTGCACACCTCGCGGAAGAGTCCCAGGAAGGCCTCGGCGACGCCGTGGCAGCTGTCGGCGGCCGAGGCCTCGCGGTAGAACGCGCAGCCCAGCTCGTTGGCGAGGTGCCAGCCCTCCGACGCGTCCACCTGCCGGGCGTGCAGGAGGTCCGTCTTGTTGCCCACGACCGCCACGACGGGGCCCTGCGGGAGGCCCGTGCCGGGCGAGGGCGTCACGGCGGCGGGCTGGCCCCGTGCGTGGCAGATGCACTCGTAGAGGCGGCGGATGTGGCGGAAGCTCTGGCGGTCCGTGACGGAGAAGGCCAGCACGAACGCGTCGGCCCAGAGGAAGGAGCGCGACACAACCTCGTGGCAGCAAAGCGTGTCGCCGATGACCTGCACGTCGGGGGGCGGGGGTGGACGCAGGGGCCACGTAAACACCGAGGTTTCGACCTCCCCCCTCCCCCCCCTACCAGGCACAAACAGGAAAGCCGATGTGGGAGGCGAACGTCCATTAAGTTTAATGAGGGCCCAACAAATAACCCCCACGTGTATTTAGTGTGCGGTGTTGCCGTTACTATACTAATGGGTGGATACCAATTGAAGGAAAAGGGAGCAGAGGAAAGCAGCAGAAGAGATGGAAGCAGCGAGACAAAATCTGAGAATTCGGAGGACGCCATTGGACACGAATAACTTGAGGAAAGGGAGGAATCGAAGAAAATGAGTGAGGCTTTTTCCCAGCCAGTGGGAAGACACAGGCGAACAACAACAATGAAAAGAACGTGCGGTGCCATCCTGCATTGGTCGAGCTATCGGCAGTGAAGCCTGCACTGAGACCCATGAGCCTGACAGGGGGTCCAGGTGTAGGACTACAACGTGGGCCTACAAAGCTCGCACGGTTGGTTACGTAGGGTGCGAAAAACAGGTTCAACATCCCATAATAGAGAAGTTTTTTGGGTTAGATTGTGTAAATGTAAATGCGTCGTTAGACCAGCCACCACCTGACAGCCAACAAGTAAGGTTTGTCAAGTAAAACAGAACATACCAATTTGTTACTAGTATAGCACACCGGTTTGTTGGAGATTAAAACCACAACATGGATTACTAATTGGAAACCTTACTGATTGGCTGTGTCGAGTGGTGGCGGGTTTAACGACACATTTATATTTACGCCATCCAACCCACACACCTATTATGGATAATATTGGTCGCGAAAGCCTTTGTGTTAAACTAATTTCAACATACGTATGTGCATTAGACAGGGGCCCAACTAAATTCATTGCACAAGGGCCCATGCTAACCACCATATGCTACTGCCATACTGCGCACGATTTGCTTATTAGGGTATTGATATTTGTTTATCGTAGTTTCGTGATTGGAATAAACACCATCACTATACATGGCAAACAAGCTGGGGCCCGCCACATTTTAGCAAGTGAGACATTTTAACCACAGCAAAGGACATCACAGCGTACTTTCCAACCCTATCCATATAGGCAATCGGCTGTTGTCCTTTGAACCCCTTTTGCCGCTGACAATTAAAAAAAATGCATATATAATTGATTAAATTATTATTTTTATGATTAGATTTGAGAATCGGCGTGTGGAAAATTGGACGGGGGGGGGGGTGTAAATATCTGCAGCCTACCGCTAAAATGGACAGGGTTGAGAAGTCTGTCGTTGTCATCGTGAGTCTGAAGCTTGCCGGTTGCTGTCGACTGGCAACGATGACAATATCTTTGCTGCAGTCACAACATTCTGCTTGTTAAGACACGAGGACGCTGCTGCGCCCTCCGCTTGCTATACCACGAGCGTTTTCCCCGGCGTGTATTTCTTCCACAAATACACATTGATATTGGTTTATCGTAGTTTTACGATGGGAATAAACACCATAGACGCACACTCGACAACCAGACGGGTGTGGGGGGGGGGGTGCAATATATCCGGTACAATGAACGGCTGGCTGACTGCACTCATCGTTCCAGAACATCGGCTTCGTCTTCGCTTTACTGGACATATTTTTCGTTTTATATATATAAGCGTTGCAGGACATACGTTAATTTTACGACCTGAATATGTACAGCTGATACATTGAGCCATCGTCGCTGCGTTGTACGAGCACCGTTTCGATGTTCGCACAGCTTCGACGTCACCGAACCAAAAAAAAACCAGGCACTGCCAACGAAATCTCCCCCCTCCCACCATTTTTCTACCACAGTTGGCGAGCGGCAGGCTCCAACTGCATCCTTGCGCTTGCGTAAGAAGCTAGGCCCCGACATCTAACAACGTCGCTACATCCCATCGCCTTTACCTTCGAAGCCTCGATAACCCCGATCTGTGCACAATGCGCGCCATTCACACGCTGCGACCGGGGTTAAAATTTGGTTGACCGTGTCGTGCGCCCAGCTCTGAGCAACTCTATTGGACCCCGTCTGTGTGCCCTTGTCACCCGGTGTCCATTTACTCGTTCAGTAACTTTGAGCAAGCCTATGGACAAATCGTCCGGAACGCCGCCACATCTCGTCGAATTTCAGAAGCTGAGCAGCGTGGGTTGAGGCTGGCGATTTACTTGGATGGGTGACAAACGTGGACACACACGTTGGAATTGAGCTGCAGCGCTGTGAGTTGGGCAGCATAGGGCGGTGCAACAAAAAAAAACTGCTGTACTGTATGTCTATGTTCCCGTGTCTATGCTACCCCCACCTCCGCTAACCCGCACTGTGCGGTATGTTGAAGTATGGTCGGATGATCCCCATAGCCGGCATGGTGTGGAGAGAACCTCATCCAAAAGTGTATTGACAAAAGGGCTAAACAAGAGTGGCTGGTATTATAAGAGAGAAGTGTTGTTGAGGTCACAATGCCACATCTTAATGAAGCACTTCGTAAAGATTGTGTGTCTGTTATTAAATTAATGCCTGCCTCTATGCCTGTGCTCACTCCTTTGATTCGCGCCAACAAAAACACCTCCCGATGTTTTGCTGGTTTTCAAATTAATTTGCATGCAAAATTAATTTCCTTTTTGCGTGTCAGAAGAGCACTAGGCCTGCCAATGAAAGAATATTGTGATTTGAAATCATAACCTACTGAAACACTGGTGCCTGTCACAGGAACGTGGAGTTTTCAGAATGGAATATAGGGGGGGCAGTGTCCAAGTTTCATTTCCACGTTTGGGCACGGGGCGCATGTTTACTTTTTTCTTCTTTCAGAAACTGCTGAGCACGATATAAAATGTACTTTACAGGAAGGTGTGTATGGCTTGGATGGCAGCCCTATAAATATGCTGGCCCAGTGTGCGATGTTCTGTAAAAGAGGGGGTTGGGCGGGGGGGGGGGCCTCATCGGCCCTAGGCTGTGCACAGCTAAAGTATTGTCCAACCCAACAACGCGCTTTGTTTCAGTTGCAAGCTAAGCCGCCGCTGCATTGCGGCGTTGGCCGCGGTCAAACAGAGCCCTTCTTTGTTTCCGACGCAGCAGCCGGTCCCGTCTGTCCGCGGCCAGGTGTGCGGGACTTTCTGCCGGAGGTTAAAGTCAGAATTTGCAATCTGCGCATAAATAAATGGGCTCTCTGTAAGAGGCCATTAACGCTTGCCAATCGTATCAACTTAGCGCGGGGGGGGGAGGGGGAGGGTGGGGAAATGTCCCAAATTGCTGCCCATAACAAACTTTTCAAACGGGCCCCACCGCGCAGATTTCCGCGGTGGTGCTGCGCGGATCTCTCCGGCGTGTCGGTTGGGGGTCACGCGCCGCGTGATGGTCTGCGCGACGCCCAGCGTTTTTGCCCCGACCTCGATTCGGTTCGCAAAGAAGCTGTAGCGCAGGGGAAGCGTCTTTGAGAACGAGATTTGGGAGCGAACCGTCGGACGTCGCGCCGAAAGAACATGCAGTACCAACCCTGAAATGCGTCGGAGAGTTGTTTTTATTTTTAAAGGTATATACCAGGGGTCAGCAACCTGCGGACCCGGAGTCGCGTACACCTCTTTAAGGACTGCTTCGTGACCATGATGTATTCATGACCACCGTCTCAAATTCACCACGGGCATCGCGGCTCTTGAAATATTGAGTTATTTTTTTTTTACCAAATTCGAAAAGAAATGGCTCTTCTTGTTATTGTGGTCGCCGCCCCTTACTATATACGATGACACTGAAATTGTCCGGGATGCGTGTTCGTGTCCGTACCTGGACTCCAGGCGTGTCCTGCATCTGCAGCAGAAGCTGCTCTCCATCCACCTGTACGTGCCTTGTGTAAAGGTTACCTTTGGGAGTGAACGACAAAAAGGGCCAATGAGCATCTTTGTACCTGTGTCAATCGCCACACAGCCAGCCATTTATCTCAAAATCAACGGAGTAAAATGTATCAATAGGTTCTGGAAGACATCGTGAAACATGCATCGATCCATTGTGAAATGAGAACTAAGTGAGAGTTTGCGTTTAGCCGCTACGCCGCTTTATTGTGACCTGTTGTATGTGTTGGATCTTGAATACTGGTTTTGAATTGTGAATGTATACAAGAGCACGTGTTATTCCGTGGCTTTGTGACCTGAGTCTCCCTTGAAATTTGGACTTATGTTCTCGGTGAGCTCTGACCTGGTTAAATAAAGATTTGATGATCATGCCGTGGACAGAGTGTGACTAATGGTGATGAAATTCTCGCACATTAATCTCCGCTGTCAGGCCCAGCATGTTAAAAAAAGTGGCTTTAAACAATCGTACGCTATCACTGAGCTACGATATCAACGCTGCGACGAGAATGGCAAGAATGCTGTGGTAAGCGTCATGGGGGTAAGTCGACAAACTCTCCAACTCTTGCAACCGCGAAGGTAAAAGCCAGGCCTGAGGAGCGTGCATCAGTTGGTCAGGTCCTCCTCTGTCCATTCATTCACTCTCTAGCCCAACGATGTTGTCACCATTGTGCTATCGACTTCATAGATGTTCGCTAACAGCACTTGCCCCAACGGTCTGTTAAAGGCTATACGGGGGAGCTTTTTAGCTATTATCGACTTCACGCCATGAGGCTCAGTGTCCGTTCAGATCTGTCGTAGAGCAGGGCACCACTTTGTGCTTGAGGACGGCCCCACAGAATTGGATCTGACGGAACTACTTCTGAGATCCCTTCCAAGTGACTTCTGCCCCCGAGATAAATGTTTTTTATCCGTACATATATTTTAACGGAGCTGGAAGTTGGGCAAATTAAACGCAGAACCAAATGTAATGTGATGGTGGGTGCTTTGTGTGTGTGCTTGAAGGCCATTGTGGGGAGCGGTAAAGTAGTAGTTAGCGTGCTGCGCTATGAACCTGGTTCGATTCCCGCTCACGGCCAACAGCAGTGACGATTATCTGAACCGGTCCTGGGCCTCCCCTAGGTCGCCTCAGCCTCAAATGAGTACCTGGTGCGGTGTCAAAACATAATCACTGGGGAGACAAGGGCGGCCGGGGGTGATTGTTGGCCACCTACCACCTCGTGTACCGTCACGGCCTTCATAGGTGCTCAGTAACTGCACTTGCCCCTACAGTCTGTTAAGGCTATACGGGGGATCTTTGTCCTTTGAAGGCCATTGACGATCGGGCTGAGACCACCAACTCGTCGTACTTGAGGACCCTGTTGAATGACAGGCGCGCGGATCTCCGCAATGCTCCGACGTGTCACGTCACGTGACGCTTGTTTCAGTTCAACTGCCCCCGGGTGCATTTCTCTGCGAGCTTTGCGTCAGGGTGGGTGGCGCGGACGCGGCGTTGCGTTGCGTTCTCAAACTCACCGGTGTTGGCTTCATAGTCGCCGATGAAACGCTTGGTCAGGAACCTCACCACCAACGCTGCGGGAGAGACAACGCAAGCGAGGGGCGCACGTCAGGAGGGCACCAGACGTGCATCGCGAAGTGCCTGCGCAGAGTAAGAGCTCGATATAAGCACAGCCGCTCGCGGGTGGGCACAGCTGCGCCGTTCGCCGCGTCCTCCGTGTTCATCTCCATCCTCTGACTTGTGCCCTGACTTGCGTCGGCGATCCGGCGCACGAACTTTGCGTGCGTCTCAGATCGGAGTTACCATCATCATCGTCGTCGTCGTCGTCGTCGTCGTCATCGTTATCACCGCGTTGCAGATTAAGAAGAAGAAGAAGAATAAACCACGCAGACTTCTCTTTCTGCTTCTTTTGTTCGCACTGCTCGACTTTTTCCAATCGTCTCCCCGTCACATCTCTCCGTTTCCTTCCCCGCCCACTCTGCCACGGGGAGAGTTGCAAGTTGTCATGACCTTGCTCAATTCAAAGAAACGCATTCACTGCTCATCTCTTGCACTCCTCGGTAGTCCTGTTTGTTACTGGCTGCTGAAGCATTATGGGTCATTTTGGTACTGTGATTAGCAACTGTTATGAGAAAAAAAAACAGTTGCCGATTGCAAAAATGGAAGTGTGCTTGTATGAGAATTTGTATCAGAATTTGCTTATAGACGTTGCTTATATCAGAACTGTGGTTACTTCTATATTGTCATGTAGAGTGGTAGGAACTTGCGTGCGTTTGCTCACTTCGTGTCAGATACTCACTAATTAGCTGGTTGATTAATTTATACATAACCGGATTCCTCCAGTGTAAATACATATTCTGATTCTAACAGAGGCATGAAAGTAGTGAATCATTTTTTTTAGGTCTAAAAACCTCTGTGTGTCTCCAACCACACTCAATACACATCAAATAGTCTAACGCCACTCTCCCCATCTATAAGATGCGGGAGCCATCGCTTTCACAAACGGCTGTTGAGTATGCGTGCATGCACGTGGGTTTAACTTCTTTCGCACCGTACGTAGCCAACCGTGCTAATTGGAGAAGCGAGAATCAAGTAAGAGATGGTTCTTTAGAAATCCGTGGGCGTATCTATACGTGTATCACCCTGTATTAGTATTATTTTTCATGAGTAGTTGGGTGTGTGGGAAGACGTTTGTAAGGTGTGTGGGTGGGACTGTGGGGGCGAGTGGTGAGTGGTGGTGGGGGGGATAAGCAGCTGTGATGGAATAAGAAATATGTAGAGTCAAGGAGGTCCATGAAGATAACTGAAGGAGGCAGTGGGTGGGAGGGGGCATGGCATATGGTTTGTATACCCTGTCAAAATTATGGGGGGGGGGGGGGGTGGGCAACTGCTCTAGTTGGTGGGATACATGCCATGAGAGACTCTAAAGATCGCAAAAGATGGAAAGCATCAACCCTCAGTGATGAAAATGACTCTTGAGCCACAACCGCTCCATGTGACTGAATCGCTCGGAACGCCGGCGCGGCCACGTCACACCTCAGAAGCTAAGCCGGGCTGAGCCTGGGGAGTGCTCGGATAGGCGACCGCCGCCGTGCATGAAACAGGCGTGATAGGCCACGGGGATACTTTGGCAGCAAAAGGCAAGTGCAGAAAAATAAATGTCGGTACGGTACTATGCTCCCCATCCACATGTCTGTGCCTTCACCTGTGAAATATTCCTCGTGACCGGCGTGATGCGGAGGAGGCCCTCATTCAGCAGTGGATTCAACAAAAGGGCTGTAAATGTGCACACCTGCATCCCCTCGCCCCCACACAGACGCAGGTGATTTGTGCATTCACGTTTTTGACAACGTGTATCACCTTGCGCTGGCGTTAAAGATGACCTCAGGTCTCTCAAATCGCATTCTCTGGAGAGGCTGACCTGGTCAGGCAGCTCAAGCTCAGGTCAATGTCACGTGACCAAAGTTCGAAACATTAAAGAAGAGAAGGGAAAAACATTGGAAACGTATTTCAATTGCCTACCACAAAATCACTCCGAATGCGCACGATACCGTCAGATGTTGGAATCTAAGCTCGGTTGAGCCTCGTCAGAGCTGGTATAAGTGACTAACAGGGCTCGCTCGGTGTGGCAGGCGTGAGACTACGAGGTGTAATCGGTATCGAGCAGTGCATGAGTTTTCTCTGGGGCCCTCCCATACGACGTTCAAGTTTATTTTGTGTAACCGGGTGAGAACTCCAGAGACCAGGATGAGTCTTATTTCCAAGAGTGACCCAGGGGCATTGGTCTGACATTTGGGGGGCAATGTCGCTGCTGACGCCGTCACACAATGGCCTGCTCTTGCGAATGCCGTCAGGGGATCGTTAACACCCATCGTGAAGCAGGCGGTGCGTAATGTTCTTATTATTATTATGGCCACTACACAGGCGCAGTAATAACCAGGGCGGCCGCTGGATTGAGACCGCGAACTTCTGCAACGACGCGCGGCGACCGCGCTCCCACTAGGCCGCATCACCGACCCCCAAAGCCAAACCACTCATTCGCGAAATCGCTCAATCATTCCAATGTCGGTTAAAATATCGACACAAACGGCGTTAAAATCGCTGCAGCTCTCCTTCGTAGAACAACTACTGTACCACGACTGACTATCACGAAGCTGTGCAGTCAACAATGGAAACAATGCTGCCCGTGGCACGCTACACCGGCGGCACATCGACGAGCGTGCTCATGCAGCCGATTTATAAACCAGAGGACAACGCCGTACACAGGGGACTGGGGTACAGGCGGAAATTGTGAAAAGGGTCTGATTTGTGAATGTCCACAGATAATAAAACGGCGACCCATCGCGGTGCGCAAATAATCTGCACTTGGTGCGAGCGGCGAGTTAACCACACGGCAGATTTGTGGCGGTCGGTGATGGGACGCAGTTCTGTGAGTGTGCTGGTCGCGTCCAACTCTGAACCCGTTCCTAACACCCGTGCGGTACACGCCCTTGCGACCCTCACCCCTCTCACTCTCTCACACACTCTCACTCTCTCACACACTCTCATTCGCTCACACTCTCACACTCTCACACACTCGCACTCGCTCACACACTCTCACTCTCTCACACTCTCACACACTCTGACTCACTCACACACTAAGACTCTCACCCACTCAGACTCTCACACTATCACTCTCTCACACTCTCTTCTCACACTCTCACTCCCTCACACTCTCACTCTCTTACTCTCTCACTCTCTCACACTCTAACCCACTAAGCCTCTAACCCACTAAGACTCTCACACTCTCACACTCTCACCCTCACACTCTCACCCTCTCACTCTCTCACTCTCTCACCCTCTCAGACACTCACACTCTCACCCTCTCACTCTCTCATCCTCTAACCCTCTCAGACTCTCACACCCTCACCCACTAAGACTCTCACCCTGTCAGACTCTCACCCACTTAGACACTCACCCTGCCAGACCCTCACCCACTAAGACTCTCACCCTGCCAGACTCTCACCCTGCCAGACTCTCACCCTGCCAGACCCTCACCCTCTCACACTCTCATCCTGCCAGACTCTCACCCTACCAGACTCTCACCCTACCAGACCCTCACCCTCTCACACTCTACCCCACTAAGACTCTCACCCTGCCAGACTCTCACCCTGCCAGACTCTCACCTTGCCAGACTCTCACCCTCTCACACTCTAACCCACTAAGACTCTCACCCTGCCAGACTCTCACCCTGCCAGACTCTCACCCTGCCAGACTCTCACCCTGCCAGACTCTCACCCTGCCAGACTCTCACCCTGCCAGACTCTCACCCTCTCAGACCCTCACCCTCTCACACTCTAACCCACTAAGACTCTCACCCTGCCAGACCCTCACCCTGCCAGACTCTCACCCTGCCAGACTCTCACCCTGCCAGACTCTCACCCTCTCAGACCCTCACCGGTCTTGCCGACTCCCCCGGCTCCCAGCACCGCGATGCGCACGTCCCGCGCCGTTCCCCCGGGCGTCTCGGGGCTCGCAGGGCCCCCCTGGTGCTCCGCGATCGGAGCAAGGTACGAGTTGGCTCCGCTGCCTGGGCCAGACATAGCCGCGACGAGCCGCATGGCCCGGGGACCTGCCCTGCCCCCTCTTCCCTTGCTCCTTTGCCTTGCCCTGCCCCTTGCCTTGCCCCTTGTCTTGCCCCTTGTCCCGCCTTGACCTCCCCCTCCTGCCGCTCGCCTACAACCGCCCGCGACGCCTACAAGCGCCCAAGGTTGTCTTGCCGTGAGAGAATTCCTCAACTTCTGTCCAAAGTTCGACTTCGTTTTATCGTTCAGCCCGAGACACACCGCAAAAAAAACCTCAAGCGGCACGGCTCCTCACTCCTTCCCACGGTGTATTCGGGGCCACTGTCCTCGAACTTCTTTCCGCCTTGAAGACGAAGAACAGAAACGCATAACAAAAAACAGGTGTCTCTTTTTTTTTTTTACGCAGCGCTTCTTTGCGTACATGCAAACGCGCCGGACGAGCGATGATTTCGCGGCTCTCGCTGTTGTTAAGCTGAAAAAGAAAGAACGACTTTATATGGCTTGGGGATCGATGATGACGACGGCGGCGGCAGTGCTAGATATGAATTGGCGACGTTACGACTTTATTGTTGCTGAGCTAACTTTCACGACTAAGTTTCGGCACAGCCCACCACCACCCCCTCCCCGCCGCGCGCCAATTGTTGTGAAATGTGAGGCCACGAGAATGCGTGGAGCTGCCTTTAAGAGGCTCGGCACACGGGGCCCGCCTCTCCCCCTGTCTCTCCCCAGCCAATGGCTTCTGTAACCCTCTCCTCCCCCACCCCCGAATTCACGAATCCAGTTTCCCTCTGCTCGCAACCCACGCCAATTTACGGTGCTTAGAGTGAGCTGGAAGCGCAAAGCGCATTTGTGTATGCGAACCAATCTTAAATATGGTTTGTTTGGAGGGAGGATGGTTTGAGGAAATTCGGTTCAAACTAGTTCAGGATTTCAACATTTTCAATCTTGAGCTGTATCATCTGTAGAATCGTCCCATAATTGTAACTGACAAGTATGACACGTGTTTGTGTTTTGCCGAATGCACAGCGCACATTTCATGTATGCATGCATAGTCACGGCTGTTATTGACCCAAGAAAGCCTCTCCGAGTTTCCAGATGCTATGGGGGGTGGGTGGGTGGGTGGGGGGTAGTGTGTCCTGGGATGTTTGGCCATAGCCATTAATTTTGTTCGTGCCATTGTTTGGCTTGAACGTGGGAGGAGGAGACCAACGTACCCAGGGGGACGACTCTCAACACGGCCATGCCATGGCCAAACTGACAGTGGCACACCTACAACACCGGGCAAGCCCTCGTGGCAATCACCCATGTTAGTAATAACCATGCTCAAAATCACCTTTGCTTCTGAGATATGATGATCGAGTTAATTTTCGGGTCACGGAGTGGGAGGAAAAGCGGAGTGGGTTACTCGGAGAAAATTCGACATTCGTACGGAAGGGGGAAACACTCAAAGCTCCGAACAGATGGATTCAGTAATTCGTATATGGAGTGCCATCTGGTTCAATAGTTAAGTCGTCTCTTAAAACTATGGTATTATCCGGATTATAACACGCATCTTTCTCCTTATATATTAAAGCTACATTTGGTGTGTGGTGGGTCATAAATCCTGTATGCGTTCGTGAGAGCGGATCTGTATGAATTAAATGACAGCAGGGCACACATTTGTGAATGCGTCTTGCTTTTCAGGGGACAAGTCTTATGATGCCGAGAAACGGAAGTGTTGCATTTGGGGTATGGTTTTTAGGGGGTGCGGCGGTGGCGAGATGTTAACTCCCTCGCCTGGTATACAGGAGGTTGCGGGTTCGATCCCGATCTTGCCACCTTGCGTGTCTCTCTCTCCATGGTCGCGTGGATTTTGTATCCGTGTAATCCGGTGTTTCCCTTCACATTTAAGATTAACGGGCACCTAAGTGTATTTGGCTGCTGTACATATCCGAATGATAATCCACTTTGTTTGCGCTGTCATTTGTGATAGCCATGTCGCTTATGAGAAAATAAGCTATGAAGCTATTAACAAAAAAAACCCGTCGTAGTTTTCAGTGTCAGTTTAGAATGGCAGCCAAAGGAGGGAGCAAGCACGAAAGGACGACCACCGTGGAGATGGAGCTACCGGATCAGCCTGTGTCCAGGCGAATTGTGGCGGCGCACGGCAGTGAGGATGTGGCAGCGGTGGGGGCGAGCGAGCGAGCGAGCGTTATCCGGCACTGAAAAAAGAGCGACGTCGTCGCTTGCTTACCTGGTGAAATAAAACAAAAATTGTTCCGGAGTTTAGTTTACGGTCACAGTAATGGGGAGTGGTTCGGGGCGGGTGGAGGGAAGTGAAACGCTCAGACTCCCGAGGAATGAGATAGGCTCGGGTTTTTTTATCGTGGCCGTCGTTGTATTTATTCAAAGGGAACATTTTCGCACGCGGCGCTGGGAGGCCAAGGCAGCTGAGTCACGCGAGTCGCTCGCAAGGAAGTTTGCGTAAATAACGCCGCGCGAACCCCCTAGCCAGCGCAGGATGTTTTCTGACACGTTGGCTGTAAAAAAAAAAACAGCACTAAGATATACAAATACACACTCGCATTTGTGGAGAGCGGTAGTGTAGCGGTTAGCGTGCTGCGCTTACGATTCCTGATCATGCCCAACACCAGTGATGATTATCTGAACCGGCCCTGGGCCTCCCCTAAGTCGACTCGGCCTCAAATGAGTACCTGGTGCGGTGTGTAAACATAGGTGCTCGCTAACGGCACTTGCCTCAACAGCCTCTGTCTAAAGGCTAGACGGGGGATTTTTTGTTTTCGTATACATCGCATTTCCTCCGTTATTTAAATTGGGTCAGAGCCAACTCGACTGGCAAAACTGAAAGTCTGGGTTCGAATCCAGGCTGTTCTACACTTTTTTGTCCTCGTTTTATCTACCCCTGAAAGATGATGATGATCATGATCATGATGATGGTAATGATGACATGATAATGACGACACTCGGTCAAACAAGAATGGCATTTGAACTCAAGACGTCATGAATAGGATGAGTCCTGCTGTTCTATTAGTCAACAAACAGGATGTACGAATCGGGCAGCAGGAGTACATAGGGAGAGCGGTGGTGCAGTGGTTAGCGCATCGTGCTATGTACCCGACGACGACGAGGTGTGTTTGATTCCAGGCGACGGCTAACATCAGTGGCGAGTGACCCAGTCCTGCCCCACCCCCCCCCCCCCCGGCAATGGCTCGCGACGATGTATACGAAAAGAAGAACAAGAAGAAGAAGAAGGGGCCTTGAACAGAAAATCGTCACCTGTTTACATCGTCTTTCTTCACGACCGTGCGACTAACGGACGCGTTGAGCGCGTTGCCGTTGATCGATCGGGCTCGTTGTTGCCAATGTGCCAACGCTGCATCGGCAAATGATCCGCGTCGCGTTCCATCTGCCGGCTCCTGACTCTGCAATGGGCCGACTGCAACGTGAGGCGGCTGGGCCCTGAATGGATCCGTCGTCAGCGCGATCGGCATCCGTTGCCACCTGGTTCATGAGAGAAGAACGTGGCCTCAACAACAACAACAAAAACACCTCGTGATGCCCTCGGCGTCTGCTACCCGCCGCTTCTCGCTCGTAGATTTGTCTTTAATTTTTTTTTGTATTTGGCCGACCGACAATCGCGGTTACGAAGGAAATGAGAGGAGTTGGGAATTCGGAGATGACCTGTAAAGGGTACTCTCTCACACTTCGCCGCGCGCGACGATGACCTTTGACAGCTCCGGTCAAGTGTGCGGAAGAATGCAGAGAGCATCCTCACTTTCCATTAATAGCTGAGGGTGTTGTTTTTAACAGTGAGTAATGCGTGAATTGGTCACGTAAAAAAATTAAATATCCTTTTAAAAAAATTGTAAGCGCAGTATTGTACCCACATCACTGACATCTTGAATGAGGAAATTTGACGTCACAGCAGCAGCAGCAGCCACGAGACAATCCGCTTCTGGACGAAGGCCCTCCCTGAAATGTAGTCTCACGTTGATTCACCTCGCGCCTGCACGCGACGTCGCTTCGTCTCCACAGTGGCCGTACTCGAGACGGTGGGACACCATCCCTTGTGGTGTCATCGTCACACCTGGCGGCGTGTCCTGCCAAAGCACACCAACTCACTTGTACCTACAACTCACTTGTACCTACAACTCACTTGTACCTACAACTCACTTGTACCTACAACTCACTTGCACCTACAACTCACTTGTACCTACAACTCACTTGTACCTACAACTCACTTGCACCTACAACTCACTTGTACCTACAACTCACTTGTACCTACAACTCACTTGTACCTACAACTCACTTGTACCTACAACTTACTTGCACCTACAACTCACTTGTACCTACAACTCACTTGCACCTACAACTCACTTGTACCTACAACTCACTTGTACCTACAACTCACTTGTACCTACAACTTACTTGTACCTACAACTCACTTGTACCTACAACTCATTTGTACCTACAACTCACTTGTACCTACAATTCACTTGTACCTACAACTCAATTGTACCTACAATTCACTTGTACCTACAATTAAATTTCCAGTGGCTGCAATGGGAGAGCGATATCCCCCCCCCCCCCTGCATCCCCATGAACTTGTTGCGATGTCGATAACAGTTTCTAATTAAATAACAGTTAAAATAACGCTTGCTACGTTTGTCACTCGCTTATTTCCATTGGCCTTGCGAGGTTCTTGTTTTTGTTATTGCGTTATTTATGCAGTTGGCAAACGACTTCATTTCTTTCTCCTCCTTGGCTTCAAACTGCTACTCCGAAGAGGGCTCGATCGCTTTTTCGTGTTCTATTAAAGCATTCCATTCATCGTGACGTCAAAGCGTATTAAGGTGAATTGGTGACCTAGGCGCCCTGGCATGTCACGCGCGTGCCTGCTGCGCGTGACCCCCCCCCCCTGTCTGCTCTCTGCACGGTGCCGTTGTGGGGGAGCGGCGGCGCAGCGGTTAGCGTCACGCTCTGCGTCCGAACCCGGTGACCCGAGTTCGATTCCCGCTCACGGCCAACACCGGGCGACGATTATCTGAATCGGACCTGGGCCGGCCTCTCCTAGGTCGACTCAGGCTCAAACGAGTACCTGGTTGCGGTATGTAAACATCGCCACTGGGGATACAAAGGCGGCCGAGGGTGGTGCTGGTCATCCACCCCCTCCTGCGCCGTGTTGGCCTTCATAGGCGCTCGCTAACAGCACTTGCCCCAGCAGACTCTTAAGTCTACACGGGGGATCTTCGTTTCATCTTTTGCACGGTGGCGTGATTGTTCACGCATCCTGCCACTGTCCCAATGACCTGGGTTCAAGTCCTCGCCCATAGTCCACGCTGACCCATGGACCGGTGCATGACGTTGGCATGGGTTATAGGGCTTCATTTCAGCCGCGTCCGTATGACTTTCCCAAACAATATTTCCACACCCGGCACACGCCATCAAGTGTACATCTTGCTGTGGGTGGCTATGGCTCCTTGTTACGTACCTACTCCAGCCTACCAATGACCGAGACATGTTTTAGTGAGTAGCTAAGCCCAGTGGCATGGGCCTTCTCTAGGTTTATGTGGCATATTAGAGAGACAAATGAGTACTAACTTTATGGTCTAACCACATTTGGAGTTATGATCTGGTCTGGTCATCATCATGAACTTAATTGCACC